AGCACCTTAGAGGCATTTTCTGAACAGCGATACAGACTGAGCTAGAGTCAGTCTGTATCGCTGTTCAGTGCTAGACAGCATCTCTTACATTTCCTGGTGGTCCCCCATCCAATTGCCAACTGAGCCTAAACAACCTTTACAAATCATCCAAAGTTGTCCAGGTACAGACTGAGAGTCACCTGCCTGGAGATGGTTCCCTGTGGACGCTACCTGGGCGAGTCCCTGCAGTAAGCCTCAATGGAAAGGGAAGCTCTCACAGTAGCTCTCACTGCTCAGTTTGGCTACTCTTATGCCGAGTTAAGTTGCCTTCCAATCATCTTTGATCGCATCCTGCGAAACATCCAATGGTGGTGACCGTGTCCCGACTCTGAAAGGTTTCAAGGGATCCCAAATGCCCCTCCTGGTCGTAGCCACCACCAGAAAGCGTTTCTCCTCAAAGAGTCCATGGACAGTGGGGAGGGGGCATGCCCGGGGACCCGGCTGCCGGTGCAAACAGCCCCAGCCTTTGCTTCGGGCCGCAGTAGAGGTCTCTGTGCTGTGAGGCCAAAGCCCCACTCCAGTCTCTGCGGCAGAGGGGAAGGTCAGCTGGTGGAGAAGGCCAGGCCCGTCCCTCTCTCCAGGCAGCAGCAGAAGAACAGGGCAAGAAAAAAAAGCTGCTGCTGGGATCGCCTTGGCCGGTTTACTTGAATGTATCGCTAATTTATTGTTTTTGAAGGGTGTCGCTTGCGATTTGTTGAAAGGGAGGATGAGGAAAGGAAGCAAAAAATTTTTTTAATTCTTTTCCTTCCTTCTGAGACGTCGAAAGAGCTGCCAAATTAATTCAAAAACAGATATCTTGGAGTAGAGAGAAAAGAAAGTTGTTTAATAAACTTTTGTGAGCAAAGTTCTTTGGAAATTGTTTTCTCCACCATCCAGGACTAATACAGATGTCGGAGGGGGACAATCGAAAAGGACCGGCTGCCTATACATTAACGCCCAAAGTATGAAGAGTAAATAGAGTGAACCTGAAGTCCTAGTTCATGGGAGCAAGTATGGACCTGCCCCAGTGGACTGCCCCCCCAATCATAAGGGGTTTGCCAAGCGCCCAAATTGTGATCACACAATGGGGGGGGCATGTGTTGCAGTGGCCATAACTTTGGGTATAGGTTATAATTCTGAATGACTCACTCTAAGTCAGACATGTCAAACACAAGGCCCGGGGGCCAGATGCGGCCCGCGAAGTGGTTTCATGTGGCCCGTGAAGCCATCCTGGAAACAGCAGGGAATGGCCCCCACTGCCTTGGCCATGGCCCAGGCCAGCCGGGAGCCCATGTACAATTTTGCGGTGGCCATCTATGCTGAAACGCATTCAGTCTTAGCGCCACAAGGCCGTCTGGAAACAGCGAGGAACCAGCCCCTGCTGCCTCAGCCCCGTCCCCTGGGTGCATGCTGAGGTGTCACCCTTTGTGAGGAATGAGGAAATGCACCATCGCTTGGAAGTGGTCAGCAAATGGCCCTCTCGTACTTCACATATCCGGCTTGATCGGCTCCGGCAGAGGGGTTTCGGCAGGCAGCGGGGCGCTCTTACAGCACCGAGAGGCTGAGCCGGGTAGCGCAAATCCAAAAAGAAATGCAAGGCCGTCCAGCTCCCAGCCTGCCCAGTTTCAGCAGGCAGTGGGGCGCCCTCCTCCCAGTGAGGCTCCTCAGTGGACCATGCCTTGGCGCTTGCCCCGTCCCACCCCCTTCTGCCAGACTCTCAGATCTGTCCCACTCCTGCCCAGGCCCCCGCAGGCACCCTTGACACGAACGATGTAGAGCTGGCCACGCCCCACCCAGTAGGCCACACCTACCCCATCCACGCCCACCCAGTAGGCCACACCCACCCTGGCCACATCCACCTGGCCCCCCCAAGGGCAACCGCAATGCTGATGCAGCCCTCAATGCAATTGACTTTGACACTCCTGCTCTTAGGTTGAGCTGTAAGCTGTATTTGCAGCATTACTGCCACATGGTGGGGAGAAATAAAATTACTGTTCAGGAATAAAAGCAGTCTGAGTGATGGGTGTTTCGCATTGTGAAGATCCTGGGATGGGGGGGCTGAGCAAAGCTACTATGGCCTTAATTATGTCGTGCACATTTGGGAGTACAAGGTCGGCATTCTCCTTCAAATACACAAAGTTAACACAAAGCTTTGTCGGCCTTAAGAGAATCTCCTGTTTCTGCTAAAAAGCTTTAAAGCAGTGGTTCTCAACCTTTTTAATGCCGCGACCCCCCAACAGGTCGTACGTCGAGGACTAGTCAACCGGTTGTAAGTCGAGGACTACTCAACTGGTGCAGCACCGTTTGCAGAATGGGACTTTGGGTGGGCTCAGCAGGGCAGAGACAGCCTGGACAATTCCTATTGGCTTTTGAAAGCCAATAGAATTAAACTCTATTCAAGAGAGTCTATTCTATTGGCTTTCAAAAGCCAATAGAATAAAAGGGAGTAGCACAGCTAAGGAAAAGGGGGAAAAAATGGCGGACTGCGTTGTTTGGCGACCCCCGTGAAATGGTCGTTCGACCCCAAATGGGGTCTCGACCCACAGGTTGAGAACCACTGCTTTAAAGGGGATCATTGTGGGCATCCAATTTAGAGTTTCAGATATCTGGTGATGGTCTTACATGATGCTTTCAGAGAAGCAACCTAGAACTAAGGAGAAACTTCCTGACCGAACAATTAACCAATGGAACACCCTGCCTCTAGAAGCGGTGAATGCTCCAACACTGGAAGTTTTTAAAGAAGAGACTGTCCGAAATGGTGTAGGGTTTCCTGCCTGAGCAGGGGGTTGGACTCGATGACCTCCAAGGTCCCTGAGCAGGGGGTTGGACTCGATGACCTCCAAGGTCCCTTCCAACTTTATTATTATATCAAACAGGGAGCAACTCTTTCACACCCACAGCAATGAAGGGCAAATTAGCCCTAGATTCAGCCATGACACACGTGCTCCAATTAGGCACATGATCATTTTAAGTCAATTTATTAGAGTATTGTAGCAAAGAGTTTTTTCTTAATGAAAAGAGGGAATCCAGGACACAGAACTGAGTTTCATTTTACACTCCATACAGTAGAAAAAGTACAAAACAAGACTTGATTGGATGGGAGAAATCATCCTGCTCAGTCATATCAGAGACGTGGACAGTAACATCCCATAATATTAAGCCTAACTGACATGAGCATTGCATGTCAGTTATGCATTACATTGCATGTCAGTTATGCATTACATTGCCGAGGTGGCGCAGCAGTTAGAGTGCAGTACTGCAGGCCACTTTAGCTGACTGTGTTCAGCAGGTCAGCGGTTCAAATCCCACCGGCTCAAGGTTGACTCAACCTTCCATCCTTCCGGGGTAGGTCAAATGAGGACCCAGATTGTTGGGGGCAATGTAAATATATATATATATATACATTGCTTACTGGTGTACACCGCTTAGAGAGTGCTTGCACTTAAAAGTAGTATATAAGTCTCCTAAATAAATAAATAAATTAAAAGGAGAACGTTCACACGGGAAAAGGCATCACGAGTCACATTAGTTTGTGGAAAGGTACAATTTCAGCCAGATAAAACCTGTAAAAGCACGTACAATTGGAAAAGTCTTTTATTGTTCACCCTGAGAAAGTCCCTTATTTGGCAGTTATTATTTACCCTTATCTTCTTCACTCAACCATCCTATTGGAATTATATGATCGTCATTCTGTTGCTTTGTATGTACACGGAGAGCTAGTGCGCTTGAGACAAATTCCTTGTGTGTCTATTCACACTTGACCAAAGTAAGTATGCGATTCAATTCCTGAGGTAGACACCATGACTGAAGGTCTTCTCACACTCTAGAGATATTTATCATTTTTCTCCCACATGAATATTTTGATCTCGAGGTAGGCCTCTATGCTCAGTAAAGCTCTACCCACATTCAGCCTTTATTACAGTGTTTCTCAACCTTGATAATTTGAAGGCATGTGGACTTCAACTCCCAGAATTCCACAGCCAGCAATGCTGGCTGTGGAATTCTGGGAGTTGCAGTCCACATGCCTTCAAATTGTCAAGGTTGAGAAACACTGTGTTAGCACAAGGTGCAAGCTGGCTAGAAAAACCTCCAAATGGAGCACGGCCACCTGGCAGTGTGAACGTGTCTTTGCTGGGACCCCCAGCAGAGAAGGAGCCACAGCCACCGCCCCGATCCTCATTCGGGGGCCGCCCTGCCTGGCCTGCCTCCCACCACCACCCTGGCTCGATCCGGGGCCTCCGAGGAAGGGGGCCGACGGTTCCGGGGCTCCAGGGGTCAGATCCAGCCTCCCTGCGTGGACCGCCTCGGCCAGCAACGGCGGGGCGTCGGGTCCAAGCAGAGCGCCAGGAGGGCCCTGGGATGCGAGCCGTGGGCCTGGCCTCCTCCCGACTCCCCTGGATGGAATGTGCGAAGAGCTTCAATTGGAGGGAAAGGTTTTATAGACATCAAAGAATCCACACTGGAGAAAAGCCATATAAATGCCTGGAGTGTGGAAAGAGCTTCAGTCTGGGGAGCAACCTTTATGTACATCAAAGAATCCACTCAGGAGAGAAACCGCATAAATGCCTGGAGTGTGGAAAGAGCTTTAGTCAGAGTGGAAACCTTTATAGACATCAACGAATTCACACTGGAGAAAACACATATAAATGCCTGGAGTGTGGAAAGAGCTTTACTGTGAATGGAGCTCTATATCAACATCAAAGAATTCACACTGGAGGGAAACCCTATAAGTGCCCGGAGCGTGGAAAGAGCTTCAGTAAGAGGAGCAGCCTTTATGTACATTGAAGAATTCACTGTGTGGCAAGAAGATGGAGAGTAGAAGTTATAGGCTCTCTTGTTCATATGCTTAATAGCATTGTTAGCCTGCAAGCCGTCTTAGAAATAATTACAAATCAAGGGCATTTAGAACAAGATCACGCTGTTTTGCTTCTCTATACTGTGCTTGCACAGGAACCTCCGTTAGCCCGAAGCGAGAAGTACAGGTACAGAAAGATAAAACAAAATGAATTGGTTAAAATAATAAACTTTCCCTTTTACATGTTGCTGCCTGGGTGTGTGGAGGAAATACACCCAGTTTTGAAAACCTGGATAGCTGCTATGGACTCAGGCTGGTTTGGAGAGATCTTTGGAACTGGCAAAGGGAAAATTTTCTGCTTATGTTAGCATTTAGAGGTCTTTTGGTTTTTCCCATCTTTGATTCCTGTTATCAGTGTTTCAGCGTGCAAACATTTTCAGCTCCTCTGCTAGCATCTTTGAATGTAGCAATCTTAAGCCCGGGCTGTGCGTTGTCACCCCCTCTCTGCTGCCTTTCCAGACGTTTCTGTTCCTCCTCCAGCAACTGGCCAGTGAAATAACTCATGGTTACGTCCTTCTCTTGCATGGTCTCTAAACTGGTCACTAGAATGTCCCAAGAATTGTCCAATGAACAGAGGACCAGGAGAGTTAGTTGGTCTCATTCAGCCAAGACACAGCGAAACCTCCTCCCATTACGCTGATGGAGGCCATGTTGCCTGCTTCTTCAAACCACCACAAACTACAACAAACCACAAGCCTCAACTCCTCTGGTTCTGGTACAAGCTTTCATTGGGTTTCTCTTCTCTCTGGGGCCATAAGCTGTCAGAGCGTGCAAACATTGCGTGAGGTAACCCAAGAGTAAACACAGTAAAGACAAACTTGTATCAAATGGTGGTTTACCTTACACTGTCTACAATATCATACACCAGGAACAAATATACATACACGTGCTAATACAGCAGGATCCAGCAAACAGCAGGAGGTGGAAGAGAAGAGAGAGAAAGACATTCCAGCAAAGCCTACCTTTTATATTCAGGCTCTTAAAGGGAGACAGACCATGCTGAGTCATTCCCATCATTGCACCATACACCTTTCATTAAAATTATATTACATAAGCTGTTCAACTATTAAATCAATACCTTGACAGTTGTGGTTTTTTTATTAAAAAGCGAAAAAGTATAAATAGAACACTGAGGGCATCCAAAAGACAACTTCAGAATTTTAAATATCTGGGACTGTCCTACATGCTAGAGGCATTTGGAAAACCCCTATTGATTACATGAAAGAATTAGCACAGAGAAGTCTTTCATGACTAAGGCAAGGAATGTTATTTCCCGCAGCACTGAAATTTTGAGTTTATGGCCCACATACTTTACAGCCACATTGTTCCAATGATGGAGTGAATATCTTTGTGATAGTAACAGGGAATGGAATTGAATACAATTGCACTCATAGGTTTGCGCATCCTTTGCAGAATTTGCAAGAATGTGGATTATTTTGTAAGAAATATCGGACAAAACACTTAAAAACATGTAGTGTGGATCAAATTAAACTATTATGTCTCACAAGTTAGGACATTAAATCATCATAATACAAGAAATAGTAAAATGGTTGTTCCCACGACTGCATATCCTTGAACATTTGGGCCAATAATACTGTATACACTCACTTTATTGTTGAATGACAATAAAAAGTATCCACATCTCTTCCTTATTGCATCATAATTAGCTCTGTGATAAATATTTAAGGGGGTTCTTAGCACTAGAGCAGGGGTGTCAAATTCATGTCACGTGATGTGTCGTGACGTATCCCGGCTTTTTTGCCATTGCTGACAAGGGGTGCATGTGGTTTTGCTATGATGCATCCGGCCCATTGGCTGACTTTTTGACACCCTTGCACTATAGAAACCGTTGTGCATGTCATCCAGGGCTGCACTGGATTTGCTGGCTACAATTGGCGGTATATTAGCCACGATTAATCAATTTCTGTTTATCTCCCATGTGGGTTATTGGGTGATTTTTCAGCTGCCTGTAAGGTCTTGTCTCAGCTAGTCCTTCAAGAAAGCAGAACTCTTGAATCAAGAGTCATTTCAAAAGGAACTTTTATTGAGAGATAGTGATTGCAGAGAAAGCAGGCAGGATCTAAAATTCCCGTGCGAAAACAACAGCTTAAAACCCACGTTTCAAAATCCTTCCCAACCGCCCAGTTTACAGGGAGCCAATGCAGAGGTGCAAAGGTGTTATGAGAACTCCGAACTGAGAAGGTAAGAAGTTGTTCTCAGAGGCTGAGATCCTCGGGAGCTGAGACAAAACAGATGGCCCCAGGCTCATCCTTCCCCCCTCCCATCCCCAGGAAGATAATCAATGGAAAAGAGGAACAGAGTAAAATGGATGCATCACAGAAAAGACCCCAAAGTCCCCCCTCCCGCCAGAAGGGCAGCGTCCCTATAGGGATCTATGGGGAGCTGACACTGCCATTTGTTCTGAAGGATTCAGCACACTCTGGGTGCATTTATAAACTTTCTGCTGAGCGTAAATTTGTAATTTTTATTGAGACCTATTTTGAGTGAACCTTTTCCAAGCACCATGAATTTTTAGGGGTTTTCTCCCAGGTGAATTCAGATCAGGAAGAATTTCTCATTGTATTCACACACAGTACAGATTTGTGCTTGTTGTGAAGAATTCTCCACACTGAAGGCATTTATATGGTTTTTCCTCACGTGTGGATTCTTTGATGCTTAGAAAGACTTCCCCTCCCACTGAAGCTTTTTCCACACTCCAGGCATTTATGTTTTCTCTCCAATGTGAATTCTTTTTTTTTAAACAAAATTTTATTAAGTTTAGGTAAATAAGGAAAAATAGGAACAATACAGGTATGGTAAAGGGAGGGCGTGGGAGGGAAGGGGAAGGGAATAAAGGGTTTAGGGTAAAATAAGGATAGGTACAATCACATATTTCAACAAACAAGTTACCGTCTGGATCATAATAATGAGTAAATATAATATTCAACCATTTTTACCGGAGCTTAGACTATAACATATTAAAAACAGTTAATAAACAAATACGTTGATCTATTAAGTAAACGCTACTAATAAAATCTCAAAAACTCCTACCAATCAAAAGTAACAAATGAAAATCAGTAAATCAAGAAAAATAATCATATCATCAAAGTATTAGTTAGAACTCGGTTAAAAATCAGTCATCTATTCTAAAATATTGAATCCTTCAAGTTCTAACGTGTCTCTAACCATTGATAAAATTTTTCCCAAGTTCTAAACTAAATTGAATCATCTTTTTCTTTCATTTCTAATGTTAGTCTATCCATTTCTGCACACTCTAAAATTTTAGTAATTATAGTCTGGTCAGATGGTAAATTCTCATTTTTCCAAAATTGGGCAAACACTATCCTTGCAGCTGTTAAAACATGCAATATCAAATAGTCATTCTCTTTACCATAATTAGGTCTTAATATTCCTAACAAAAACAATTCCAGTTTAAATTCTATCTGTAGTTTCATCATCTTTTCCAACCATCTATGGATCTTAGACCAATATTTCTCAGCGATAGGGCATGTCCACCAGGCATGGTAATAAGTGCCTGGCTATTGTTTACATTTCCAGCAAATATCCGAATATTTTTAAATATTTTTCCAAGTGCTCTTAGGGAAAATATGTTTAAACATTTTCCCTAAGAGCACTGGTGTCATATGCCATCTATAAAACATCTTATATAAGTTTTTTTTATATAATATTTTTATCCCAAAGTTTTTGCCAGTCTTTGCCAGGTATTTATATGGTTTTTCCTCATGTGTGGATTCTTTGATTCTTAGTTAGAAAGACTTCCCTTCCCACTGAAGCTCTTTTCACACTCCAGTCATTTATATGTTTTTTCTCCAGTGTGAATTCTTTGATGTCTATAAAGATTTCCTCTCTGACTAAAGCTCTTTCCACATTCAAGGCATTTATATGGCTTTTCTCCAGTGTGGATTCTTTGATGTGTATAAAGGTTTGCCCTCGCACTGAAGCTCTTTCCACACTCCGGACATTTGTATGGTTTCTCTCCAGTATGAATCCTTTGATGTCTAGAAAGGTGTCCTGTGTAGATTCTTTGATGTTGACATACAGCTCCACTCACAGTAAAGCTCTTTCCACACTCCAGGCATTTATGCGGTTTTTCTCCTGTGTGGCTCCTTTGATGTCCATAAAGGCTGCTCCTTTGACTGAAACTCTTTCCACACTCCAGGCATTTATATGGTTTCTCTCCAGTGTGGATTCTTTGATGTGCATAAAGGCTGCTCCTTTGACTGAAACTCTTTCCACACTCCAGGCATTTATATGGTTTCTCTCCAGTGTGGATTCTTTGATGTGCATAAAGGCTGCATCTATGACTGAAACTCTTTCCACACTCCAGGCATTTATGCGGTTTTTCTCCTGTGTGGCTCCTTTGATGTGCATAAAGGCTTCCCTTCTGACTGAAGCATTTTCCACACTCCAGACATTTATGTGGTTTCTCTCCAGTGTGGATTGTTTGATGTTGACGTAGGTGTTCATTCCGAGTAAAGCTCTTTCCACATTCTAGGCATTTGTATGGTTTTTCTCCAGTGTGGAGCCTTTGATGTGCATAAAGGCTTCTCCTCAGACTGAAGCTCTTTCCACACTCCAAACATTTATGTGGTTTTTCTCCTGAGTGGATTCTTAGATGTGTATAAAGTCTTCCACTCAGACTGAAGCTCTTTCCACACTCCAGGCATTTATGTGGTTTCCTCCAGTGTGGATTCTTTGATGTGTATAAAGTCTTCCACTCAGACGGAAGCTCTTTCCACACTCCAGGCATTTATGCGGTTTTTCTGAGTGGATTCTTTGATGTGTATAAAGGCTTCCCCTCCGAGTCTTTCCACACTCCAGGCATTTATGCGGCTTCTCTCCTGAGTGGATCCTTTGATGTACATAAAGGCCGCTCCTTTGACTGAAACTCTTTCCACACTCCAGGCATTTATGTGGTTTCTCTCCAGTGTGGATTCTTTGATGTGCATAAAGGCTGCATCTATGACTGAAACTCTTTCCACACTCCAGGCATTTATGCGGTTTTTCTCCTGTGTGGCTCCTTTGATGTGCATAAAGGTTTCCCTTCTGACTGAAGCATTTTCCACACTCCAGACATTTATGTGGTTTCTCTCCAGTGTGGATTGTTTGATGTTGACGTAGGTATTCATTCCGAGTAAAGCTCTTTCCACATTCTAGGCATTTGTATGGTTTTTCTCCAGTGTGGAGCCTTTGATGTACATAAAGGCTGCTACTCTGACTGAAGCTCTTTCCACACTCCAAACATTTATGTGTTTTTTCTCCTGAGTGGATCCTTTGATGTACATAAAGGCTGCTACTCTGACTGAAGCTCTTTCCACACTCCAGGCATTTATGTGGTTTCTCTCCAGTGTGGATTCTTTGATGTGTATAAAGGCTTCTCCTCAGACTGAAGCTCCTTCCACACTCCAGGCAATTATGCGGTTTTTCTCCTGTGTGGATCCTTTGATGTGCATAAAGGTTTCCCTTCTGACTGAAGCATTTTCCACACTCCAGACATTTATGTGGTTTCTCTCCAGTGTGGATTGTTTGATGTTGACGTAGGTGTTCATTCTGAGTAAAGCTCTGTCCACATTCTAGGCATTTGTATGGTTTCTCTCCTGAGTGGATTCTTTCATGTACATAAAGCTGTCCCCTCCAACTGAAGCTCTTTCCACACTCCAGGCATTCAAATGGTTTTTCTCCTGAGTGGATCCTTTGATGTCTATAAAGGCTGCTCCTCTGACTGAAGCTCTTTCCACACTCCAGGCATTCAAATGGCTTTTCTCCTGAGTGGATTCTTAGATGGTTTACAAGAACTCTATTTCTTTTGAAGGATTTTCCACATTCCGGGCACTGATATTTCTCTCCTCCCTCCTGGATTCTCTGGGGATTCCCGGGTCTTCCGCCTCTTCTGAAGGACCCTCCGCCCTCCAGGCCCGTCTCGGGGTCTCCGCCCGTTTCCTGCTCCCCGCTTCTCCCTCTGGGCGGCCTCCTTTCTCCGGGTCCCTCTCGGCTCATCCCTGCCGGGCCTTCCCGCCGTCTCCTCCCGGGGCTGTTCCGCGGGGCCTCCTCTCCTCTCGAGCGGCGCCTCCTTCCTTCCTTCCTCCGCCGGGCTCGCCCGTCCTGCTGCAGGGGCGAAGGGGGGAGGAAAGGGGGGTCACGGCTTCGTCCCTTCCCCGGAGGGGAGTCCCAGGCCCTCCCAGGCAGGAAGGCCAAAGCCTCCGCCTCTCAGCGACACTTTCCGGGCAGGCCTCCCTCCCAGCGCCCGTCCCGCCAGACCAGGCCTCGGGCTCCCCCCTCCCCCCTCCCTTCTCCGCCAGAGCGCCTCTCGGACTGCCACTCCCAGCATCCCTTGCGCCCTACCTGGATTGCGAGCCAGCCAGGCGCCTCAGTTCTATTCGTTTCCGGAAGTGGAGGCGGGACTTCGCTGCGAGCCCTTTTCCTCTATAAGCTCCGCCTGTTCCTCTGGAGGGGCCGCCCCGAAAAGTCCTCCTGCCATTCGCCTTCCTCCCCCTGGCGACCAATCTGGGGCCTCCTTCCTGGAATCAGTGAGTTGGCGCCTGCGCAGTAGCGACGGGCATGCTACACTCGGCGGGGAGTTTGAGGGTTTCCCTTTCACTTTTGGGGTCCGTTCTTCCTCCCCCCCGCCCCCTCTCCCCCAGGCAGGCAGAGGGTGGGGGCGCTGCTGGGGCTGCCACTTCCCCCCTCCCTCCCCATCCGGGGCCTTTCTTTGGCAGGGCGGGGGGGGAGGTGGGGGCTCCGGCCAGGCTCCCCCCGCGGCCCCCAGGCAGCCCCTCCCGCCTCTCAGGGCCGATCCCTGCCCCCCCCCGCCCCTCTGCGCCCCCCCGGAGCCCCTCCTCGCACGGGGGGGAGGGGGCGAGGGGGTCCCAGGCCGGGCTGGATTTGGAGGATTTCTGTTCCCGTCTTTTCCGTTTGGAAAGGTTTCTCCCCCCCGCGTTCTGCCCAGCCAGAGAGGGAGGGGGGAGGGAGAGGAGGCGGGGCCAGAAACGCCCCCAGGACCATTGAGGGTCTCCAGCCTTGGGGGGGCTTTGAGGCTTCTGGACTTCAACTCCCAGAATTCCTCTTGCCAAGGTTGGGGACCTCTGACCTCGGGTGCTCCGGACTGGGCTAGGACGCCCTGTGACCTCTGAGGCTCCTCCCTCTTTCAGGCAGCCTGCCCATCCCCGGACAGCAGGGATGGGAGGGGGCGGGAGGGCGTGGGGAGAGACGCTGCCTTGGCCGGGAAAGAAAGGCCGGGATGCCAGGGGGTCACCTGGAAGACGGAGACCAGCCAAGGTCGCCCAGGGAAAGAGATTGTTCCCAGAACAGCGCAGGCGCAACTGAGGGATGGACGAAGGACCAGGGGGGCTGGGGGGTGGGAGAGAATGGACTTTATCCTATGCTTTTGCCTGAGACATTGCAGGGCTCTGTGGCAGGAATAGCCAACACCCCGGAAGACAAGCTCTGGATCCAAAGTTCACAGACTTGAACGATGGGCCCTATTCAACAACATGCCATTTAATGTGGAGAAAAGCAAGGTTTTACACCTGGGCAGGCTAAACCCGAGGTACCAGTACAGATTAGACGAAACATGGCACAAAAACTGGAACTGTGAGAGGGACCTTGGACTCTCAACGGACGATCACTTAAATAGGAGTCAGCCGTTTGCGGCGGCAGCCCAGAAGACCTAATACAATCCTTGATTATATAAACAGAGGCAGAGAATCAAAATCATCTGAAGTATTAATTCCGCTCTATAAAGCCTTAGTAAGACCACATCTGGAATGCTGCATCCAGCTTTGGTCACCGCATTACAAAAAAGATTGCAAAGTAGAGCAACTAAGATAATTAAATGCCTGCAAGCTAAAAGATATGAAGAACGGTTGCAAGAACTGGGCATGGCTCTCTAGTGAAAAGAAGGACTAGGGGAGACATGATAGCAGTATTTGTTTCCGGAAGTGGAGGCGGGACTTCGCTGCGAGCACTTTTCCTGTTAGCGATAGCTCTTCCATTTTCTTTTGAATGGACCACCCCAAGGTGTCTTCCTGCCAATCGCTGCCCTCCCCAAAGTGACCAATCGGCGTCCTGCTTCCTTCCAGCCATGAGCCATACAAAAGAGAATAAAAGGGGAAAGAATGTGTACACCTGGACAAAACACTTACTGCATTGCACACCAAAGCTCCCTGTGGCTCAACCACCTACCTGACCCTCCCCCCCAGCCCAGGAGCAAAGCCCCCTCCTCAAAGAGGTATGGGACATTTGTTGGGTGAGGTACAGAAATCTCTGGGTGATGCTGTTAGAGGGGAGGGGTCTGCAGCTCTCTTGGGGGCAATATGTAAGGAATGGGCCGTCGCTGCCTTTCCAATTCCAGTCCCTGCCCTGCTCCAGGTGCTAAAGAGGCTGGACCCCAATTAACCTTTTCCCAGAACGGCCATCAACTGAGCAGATGAACCATCCTCAAGTGAAACCCAAGAGCTAGTGTCTTCACAAGCACCTTAGAGGCATTTTCTGAACAGCGATACAGACTGAGCTAGAGTCAGTCTGTATCGCTGTTCAGTGCTAGACAGCATCTCTTGCATTTCCTGGTGGTCCCCCATCCAATTGCCAACTGAGCCTAAACAACCTTTACAAATCATCCAAAGTTGTCCAGGTACAGACTGAGAATCACCTGCCTGGAGATGGTTCCCCGTGGACGCTACCTGGGCGAGTCCCTGCAATAAGCCTCAATGGAAAGGGAAGCTCTCACAGTAGCTCTCACTGCTCAGTTTGACTACTCTTATGCCGAGTTAAGTTGCCTTCCAAAGAGCGTGTTGAAGCAGGCAAGGGGCCTGGATGTGCAAACCCAGGAGTGAGGAAGCAGGTCGTGTGAACAGAGCCTTGGGTCACGCTGGGTCCTCCTTTAGGTTGTTCGAGGCCAGTGGTGGGGAACGATGGCCCTTTTATGACTTCTGGATTTCTGCTCCCAGAACTCCATGAAATACAGACCGAGAATTGTTCTGGACGGTTCATCGTAAATACTGTGCCTTGTTTGTGCCCCTCAAATTCTGTGCAGGAGAGGCAGAGAAGGACAAGGTGAATGATCAAATCCTCCCACTGCAGCAAAAAGTATTTAAGGGTATCTTTTTACCAAATAATTTCAATTTACTGTGAAATCAGTTGAAATTGATGCAATTAAATGGCACAGTTTATTCTTGCCTAATGTATTGGGTGTAAATTTTGATTTATGACTAACGTTCTTCTAAATAAAACAAAACGGTATGGACAAAATCACTGCTTGTAGCCTTTGCAGATTTTAAGCCTACATTTGATTCCATTTGAGAGAAATCTTGATGAATGTGGAGAATACATTAGAAAGGGATGTCACTTTTTCTACTGCATCCAATTTACCAGAGTTTCATACATCTGGGGATGGCCTTACGTGGTGCTGACTTTTGGAAAACCCATTTAGATTATATGAATGAGATGGAGGAGCTCTTTCACACCCACCACAATGAAGGCCAAATTAGCCCCAGATTCAGCCATGTCATCCTTGCTCCAAATAGGCACCAAGTGGGATGATCATTTAAAGGCAATTTATTAGTCTATTATAGCAAAGAGATTTCCCTCAATGAAAAGGGGAAATCCAGGACACAGAATCAGGTTTCATTTTATACACCATATAGTAGAAAAAGTAAAAAGCAAGACTTGATTGGATGTAAGAAATCATCCTACTCAGTTAAGCCAGAAACATGGACAGTAACATCCTATAATATTAAACATAACCATTGCATTAAAAGGAGAACGCTGATATGGGAAAAAATGTCACGAGTCAAATGTTACAAAAAGGTACAATTTCAATCACACAATTTCAGTTCGGCATTTAACACAATCATTCCCCAGCATCTAGTAGACAAACTGGACCTTTTAGGCTTAAACACTCGTCGTGTCACTGGATTCTAGATTTTCTTACCAAAGGCTGCAATATGTGCAAATTGGAACAAATACCCATAATACTATTTTCTTGAGCACAGGTTCTCCTCAGGGCTGCGTCCCAAGTCCGCTGCTGTTCACCCAGTTGACCCACGACTGTTGTGCTAGGTTTACCACATTGTGAGGTTCGCAGATGATACAACAGTAGCGTTCCTTATTCATGATGACAATGAGGGAGCTTATTATAAGGAGGTTGAGGGGTTGGTGAACTGGCGTAAGGAAAACAGCCTAGTTTTAAATACCGGAAAAACGATAGAAATCATTGTTGATTTCAGAACAGGCAGGCACAGCCACACTTCTGTGCATTAATGATTCCCCTGTGGAGATGGTTACCAGCATCAAATTCCTGGGTGTGCAGCTAATGAGTAGGCTGGCTTGGTCGCTCAACAGCGAGACACTGGTGAAGCGGGCACAGCAGCGCCTGCATTTTCTGCGTCGCATGAGAAAAGCACATCTTCCTTCTATCCTTTCTATCCACTTTCTAAAGGGAGACGATTGAGAGCATCCTGTCATACGGCGTCACAGACATGCGCTCAACGCCCCAAGAATGCCCAGCCATCTTGGCCAAGGTTCCCTGCACCAACCTTCACTCCGAGACCCTTCCTGGCCTCCACTTTACAGTCCAAGCTGATCGTCCTCATCTTCCTCCTCCTGCTGCTCGTCGGGGATCTAGGCACTAGGCGAGGCGTCAGCTCTAATTCTGGAAATCCTCGACTTAACAACAGTAGTGGGGTCGGCGCATTTCGGTCAGAAGGATGGAGGACATTAATTGAAACTCGTTAAGTGAAAGAGTCCACTTCCTGGATCACCTCAATGCAGACGTTAAACGAACGGAGGAGTGAATGCAGGGTTGCTCAATGAGCACGGGGTGCCTCAGGGATGCCTGCCTTGGGCTTCGCCCACCCCATGAGATACCCCCATGCTCTGCTTCCTTTCCTTGCAATCTCCACAGCCATGTCCACCCCTCGCAATGCCTTGCTTATCTTCTGGAGATCTTCAGAATGCCTCCCTTGTGCCTTCCTCTGTGGCCTGTTAAACTCTAAACAGGATAATGAGCCATGTATTTTCTGGGGAGAAACAAGAGCCTGTGACAGTGGGAGGAAGGACAGACAATGAAGGCTCAAGTGTCAAAAGGGCGAGGCAGAAGGAGGTGCTTTGCCTTGTTTCAAACCTGACTGGGAAGGCAAAGTTGATGCTTTATGTGGCCCAGTAAAAATGGCCTATAACGCTGAGTTCTGCAGATTTCTGGAAGGTAAACAAGGCATTGTGAGGGGTGGGACAGGGGGGCAGAGCAGGCCCACGCCTTTGGGGATCCGGCAGAGCAAGGATGGAGGGGGAAGAGATAAGTGGGCATGGTTCAGCGCCTCTATAAAATTTTGAAGCTGCCCGGTCATTTGTGAGAACGACATGATAATTTTTGTAAAATTATAATCCCCTAGGTACGAGAGTTCATTTAGCCACTTTTCACAAAAATGAATTAATTTAATTAGTTCAGGATGGGTAGTTACATTAGAAATTCAAAATTGTGACAAAAAAGGTCTGTCTAGCCATGTGACTTGGTTTCAATCACTAATGCCGTGGTGGCCATTTTTGTCTCTGTCTTTCCTTGGCTGTTTGAGGCTACAAGAAGTTGGCAGGGTTTGGGCTTTTTTTTTTTTTTTTGTCCATGGCCACATGGCCAAACAAGTGCTGAGCCAGCTCCGGTTTTTGCTTTTGCTAGCTGAAGATGCTTGAGCTGGCTAGCAGCCGTTATTTTTTAAAAAAAGGTAAGTGCAATGGTTCCAAGCTAAATTGGCATTTATACGGTTTCTCCGCTTGTGTGGATTCTTTTGATGTCTATAAAGCTTTTCACTCCAACTGAAGCTCTTTACACACTCCAGGAATTTATACTATTTCTGTCAAGTGGATCCTTTGATGTGTATAAAGGTTGCTCGGGGTCTCCGCCCATTTTCTCTCCAGTATGAATCCTTTGATGTCTATAAAGGCCTCTTGTCCGACTGAAGCTCTTTCTACATTCCAGGCATTTATAAGGTTTTTCTCCAGTGTGGATCCTTTGATGTACGTTAAGGCTGCTCCACCGACTGAAACTCTTTCCACACTCCAGGCATTTATAAGGTTTTTCTCCTGTGTGGATCCTTTGATGTTTATAAAGGCTTCCCCTCACACTGAAGCTCTTTCCACACTCCAGGCATTTATGCGGTTTCTCTCCTGAGTGGATCCTTTGATGTGCATAAAGGCTTCCCCTATCACTGAAGCTCTTTCCACACTCAAGGCATTTATAAGGTTTTTCTCCTGTGTGGCTCCTTTGATGTGCATATAGGCTTCCCTTCTGACTGAAGCATTTTCCACACTCCAGACATTTATATGGTTTCTCTCCAGTGTGGATTCTTTGATGTTGACGTAGGTGTCCACTCTGAATAAAGCTCTTTCCACATTGTAGGCATTTGTATGGTTTTTCTCCAGTGTGAATCCTTTGATGTGTATAAAGGGTTTCCCTCCAACTGAAACTCTTTCTACACTCCAGGCACTTATGTGGTTTCTCTCCAGTGTGGATCCTTTGATGCACATAAAGCCTGCTCCTCTGACTGAAGCTCTTTCCACACTCCAGGCACTTATGTGGTTTCTCTCCAGTGTGGATCCTTTGATGCACATCAAGGCTGCTCCTCTGACTGAAGCACTTTCCACACTCCAGGCATTTATAAGGTTTTTCTCCTGTGTGAATCCTTTGATGTGTATAAAGGTTTCCCCTCCCATTGAAGCTCTTTCCACACTCCAGACATTTATGTGGCTTTTCTCCTGAGTGGATCCTTTGATGTGTATAAAGGTGTCCCCTTTGACTGAAGCTCTTTCCACACTGCAGGCATTTATACTCTTTTTCTCTATTTTGAACCCTTTGATGATTAGAAAGACTGCTCCTTTGACCGAAACTCTTTCCACACTCCAGGCATTTATAAGGTTTTTCTCCTGTGTGGATTCTTAGATGGTTTACAAGATCTGCATTTCTTTTGAAGGATTTTCCACATTCTGGGCACTGATATTTCTCTCCTCCCTCCTGGATTGTGTCACGTTTCCTGAGTCTTCTGCCTGTCCCGAAGGACCCTCCGCCCTCCAGGCCCGTCTCGGGGTCTCCGCCCGTTTTCTCTCCAGTATGAATCCTTTGATGACTATATAGAGTTCCTCTCTGACTGAAGTTCTTTCCACACTCTAGGCATTTATAAGATTTTTCTGCAGTGTGGATCCTTTGATGTTTATAAAGGTGTCCTCTCTGGCTGAAGCTCTTTCTACATTCCAGGCATTTATGTGGTTTCTCTCCCGTGTGGATCCTTTGATGTGTATAAAGGTGGCTCCTCTGACTGAAGCACTTTCCACATTCTGGGCATTTAAATGGCTTTTCTCCTGTGTGGATTATTAGATGCTTTTTAAGATCTGCTTTTCTTTTGAAGGATTTTCCACATTCCGGGCACTGATATTTCTCTCCTCCCTCCTGGATTCTCTGGGGATTCCCGGGTCTTCCGCCTGTCCCGAAGGACCCTCCGCCCTCCAGGCCCGTCTCGGGGTCTCCGCCCGTTTCCTGCTCCCCGCTTCTCCCTCCGGGCGGCCTCCTTTCCCGGAGTCCCCCTCGGCTCATCCCTTCCGGGCCTTCCCCGCCGTCTCCTCCCGGGGCTGCTCCGCGGGGCCTCCTCTCCTCTCGGGCGGCGCCTCCTTCCTTCCTTCCTTCCTCCGCCGGGCTCGCCCGTCCTCCTGCAGGGGCGAAGGGGGGGAGGAGAGGCGGGTCACGGCTTCGTCCCTTCCCCGGAGGGGAGTCCCAGGCCCGCCCGGGGAGGAAGGCCGAAGCCTCCGCATCTCAGCGACACTTTCCGGGCAGGCCTCCCTCCCAGCGCCCGTCCCGCCAGACCAGGCCTCGGCCTCCCCCTCCCTCCGCCAGAGCGCCTCTCGGACTGCCACTCCCAGCATCCCTTGCGCCCTACCTGGCTCCGAGCCAGTCACCGGCCGAATCAATTAGGGCGCTTCAGTTCTATGCGTTCCCGGAAGTGGAGGCGGGACTTCGCTGCGAGGTCTGTTCCTGGTTGCTCTTTCTCTTTCCTTTGAATGGACCGGCCCGAGGAGTCCTCCTGCCAATCGCTGCCCTCCCCAGAGCGACCAATCGGCGTCCCGCTTCCCCCGACCCATCATCATACGGCGCCCCTCAGTGGGACTTTCCGGGCAGGCCTCCCTCGCAGCGCCCGTCCCGCCAGGCCAGGCCTCGGCCTCCCCCCTCCCTCCCGGGGTTCCCTTCTCCGCCAGAGAGCCTACGGCACTGCGACTCCCAGCATCCCTTGCGCCCTACCTGGCTCCGAGCCAGTCCGCGGCCGAATCAATTAGGGCGCCTCAGTTCTATTCGTTTCCGGAAGTGGAGGCGGGGCTTCGCTGCGAGGCCTCTTCCTGGTTGCTCTTCCTCTTTCCTTTGAATGGACCGGCCCGAAGAGTCCTCCTGCCAATCATTGCTAGAGCGACCAATCGACGTCCATCCATCCAGCCAACAGCTATATGGCGCCTGCGCAGTAGCGAAGGTTCTGTTCGGCAAGGGGGTGAGGCGAGCGGCTCCCTTTGACTTTTGGGGGTCCCGTCTTCCCCCCCTCCCCGCATGCAGGCTGGCGGAGCTGAGCGGCCTCCCGGGGCTGCGTCTCCGCCCCTCCCTCCCTCCCCACACTGGGGGTCTCTCCCTAGGCAGGGGGGGGGAAGTTGGGGGGCATCCAGGCAGGCGAGAGCTGGGGGGTCGCTTCCTGCCTCCTTCCCCCTGGGGGGCTCCGGCCAGGCTCCCCCCGCGGCCCCCAGGCAGCCCCTCTCCCGGGCGGGGGGGGGTCGGAGCAGGTGAGGAGAAGGGCGGGGGGGGAGGTGAGAGCAGCCTTCCCATATCTGGGGGGCGCCCCGAAGAGGAGGGGGCCCCCCTCTTCCCCGAAGCCCCCCCTGAAGGCGGGGGGAGCAGCGACGGAGGGAGACTGGCCGGGGAAGGAAGGAGGAATCTCCTGACAGGGAGAACTGTTAGCCGGTGGAACTACCCGCCTCCAGAAGCTGTCAAAGCTCCAACACTGGAGGCTTTAAAGAAGAGACTCCCTTCACTCGCTCTGCATTCACACCGGAACCTTTTCGTGCATGTGGGGGAAAAGGAGGATATGCAATCATATCTATTGTTTGACTTTAAACATTTCTATTCACGTGTTTTTCTTGGTTCCCCCCCCCTTCTGCTCTACCAAAGAGGAAGGAGGAAAGTGGGGAGCATGAAGGAGTCCATGAGAAGAGACGGTGCCCTGAACTGGCCTTAAGGGCCACCTTTCCCAGCCTCGCGGGGTGCTTTGGACTGGGGTAGATTTGGGGTACCGTATAACATCGAATGCCGCTCCCCCTTTGGGGGCTTCTTGAGGTTGGGATGTGTGTCTCTTCCTCAGTCTTGACTCTTCCATCGCAGGCCGGAGAGACTGAAGTTTCTGCGCAGGATCCTAGGTGTTCCTAGCACTGCGTTCCTCTGGGCAGAGAGAGAGATCTGAGTCGGTTCCTGGGATCTGTGGCAGCCCCTCTGCCCGCTTAGGAGTCCCAGCCCTGAGTGCTGGGATTGGGGAGTAGAGGCAGTCAAGCTGTCAGGAAGGATAACTGCAAAAAACACCACAGGGGCGGCAAACAGGGTTGGGTCAGTGAGCCCCCTCCCCTCTGGCTGCATCACCAGCCCCCCCCCCCTCCAGACCCAGCTTCTCCTCTGGCCCCTCCTCTCCCAAGGACCCCATTGCAAAACTGAATCAGAGCAGGGAAACCCCTTCCAACGCCTCTCCCCTTAATACAGTGGTTCTCAATCTTTTTAATGCTGCGATCCCCAACTGGTCGTAAGTCGAGGACTACTCAACCGGTCACAAGTCGAGGACTACTCAACTGGTGCAGCACCGTTTGCAGAAGGGGACTTTTGGCGGGCTCAGCAGGCAGAGACAGCCTGGACAACTCCTATTGGCTTTGGAAAGCCAATAGAATTAGACTCTGTTCAAGAGAGTCTATTCTATTGGCTTTCGAAAGCCAATAGAATAAAAGGGAGTAGCACAGCTAAGGAAAAGGGGGGGAAAAATGGCGGACTGCGTTGTTTGGCGACCCCCGTGAAATGGTCGTTCAACCCCAAATGGGGTCCCAACCCACAGGTTGAGAACCACTGCCTTAATACATGGATTTTTAAAATCTCCTTTGGCCTCTTGGCACCTGATGCCAAAGGTGCCACACAGGCACACCTTTTCCTCCTATCCCCCCCTTTGGAGGGGGCTCCTGTTACAGTTTCTACCTCGGCCAGGGTGCCCTGAGACATAGACCCCCAACCCTGGTCTGGCACCTATCTCATTTCCTTCCAGCAGCTGACTGGCAAAACAATACACCTGTTTATCCGGCAGCACATTTGCAAATTAACTCCCCCCCCCAAACTTACCCATCCATTTCAATGGACACCTGTAATCACCCACCTGTTCAGACTTTGGGAAAAGTGAAAAGGAGAGCAAGGAAGATACTTAAAGGCCTGGAGACTAAAACATATGAAGAAAGGTTACAAGATTTGGGTTTGGCTAGAGCACAGGTGTCCAACTTGTGATCTCGTTTGACGTGTTGTGACTTTTTTCCCACTGCTGGCAATGGGGGGGGGGAGCGGTTTCGGCGTGAGGCATCCAGCCCGTGGGCTGTCACTTTGACATGCCTGGTAAATTAGGGCTCCTGCTTGAGTAGGGGGCTGGACTAGGAGACCTTCAAGGTCCCTTCCAGCTCTATTCTGAATTTGAATTTGCCTTCACTAATAACCAATGTGGGCTCTGAACTGTTCCCAGGAACTCATTCCAGCTTCAGCAGCTGAAGCATCAAACCCTGAAGAAGACAAGGGGGGGGGGGCAAAGGATGTCATGCCCACCTTTTCCCCTCCAAGTCAGAGAACCAGCCTAAGTTATCAGCAATCACATGATGGTTGTTGCACCCCGAGCAATTCACTATCACGGCTCCATGATGATAAGCCAACTTGGAAGTGGTTTTTGCAGACCGTGTCCCACATTCCTGAAAGAGAAGCCAGCATCTATTCAGGGATTTTTTCAAAGTGGTTCTCTGGGATATCCAAGACCAGGGAATTGGGGGGAGGTGCCCATTTATTTTGCAATGACTTATTACATTTGGGAGCAGCTCAACTCCCAAAGACTCTGGGTGCTTTACAAAAAAGAATAAAAAGGGAAAAGAATGTGTACACCTGAGAAAAACACTGCACTGCACACCAAAGCTCCCTGTGGCTCAACCACCTGCCTGCCCCCCCCAGCCCAGGAGCAAAGCCCCCTCCTCAAAGAGGTATGGGACATTTGTTGGGTGAGGCACAGAAATCTCTGGGTGCTGCTGTTAGAGAGGGGAGGGGTCTGCAGCTCTCTTGGGGGCAACATGTAAGCAATGGGCCATCGCTGCCTTTCCAATTCCAGTCCCTGCCCTGCTCCAGGTGCTAAAGAGGCTGGACCTCCATTTTTTCCCAAATCAGCCATCAGTCAACTGAGCAAATGAACCATCCTCAAGTGAAACCCAACAGCAAATGTCTTCACAAGCACCTTAGAGGCATTTTCTGAACAGCAATACAGACTGGGCTGGTTCTGTGTTTAAACTTTCCAGTGCTAGACAGCATCTCTTACGTTTCCCGCTGGTCCCCCATCCAAGTGTCAATTAAGCCTAAACAAGCCTTACTTCGCAGTTCAGCCAACAATATCCAGGATTAGACTGAGAGTCCCCCGGTACACTGTCCGGGCGAGTCCCAGCAATAAGCCTCAATGGCAAGGAAAGCCCTCACATTTACACAGCCTGCTCAGTTTGGCTAGTCTTATGCCAGGTTAAATTGGCCTCCAAACAGCCTATTGAACAATGCCGGGGGTCTGGGTATGGCCAGCCAGGAGTGGGGAAGCAGGTCATGTGAACAGAGCCTTGGGTCCCGATGAATCCTCCTTTAGATTGTTCTAGGCCAGAGGTGGGGAACGATGGCCCTTTTATGATTTCTGGATTTCTGCTCCCAGAACTCCATGAAATACAGACCGAGAATTATTCCGGCTGGTTCATCGTAAATACTGTGCTCTGTTTGGTCCCCTCAAATTCTGTGCAGGAGAGGCAGAGAAGGAGCTGACATTTGGAAAACCCATTTAGATTATATCAAAAATGAGGTGGAGCGCATTAAAAGCCACAAAAAAAAGGCTGAATTAACCTAGATTCAGCCATGTCACACTTGCTCCAATTAGGCACCAAGTGGGATGATCCTTTAAAGGCAATTTATTAGTCTATTATAGCAAAGAGATTTCCCTCAATGAAAAGGCGAAATCCAGGACACAGAATCGGATTTCATTTCATACACCATATAATAGAAAAAGTAAAAACAAGATTTGATTGGATGGAAGAAATCATCCTGCTCAGTTACGCCAGAGACATGGACAATAACATACCCATAATATTAAACATAACCATTGAAATGTGCATTGCATTAAAAGGAGAATGCTGATATGGGAAAAAATGTCACGAGTCAAATGAGACTGTTACAAAAAGGGACAATTTCAACCACACAATTTCAGTTCGGCATTTAACACAAATCATTCCCCAGTATCTAGTAGACAAACTGGGCCTTTTACGGTTAAACGCTCTTTGTTTAACTGGATTCTTGCTTATCTTCTGCCTTTCTCCGTGGCCTGTTAAACTCTAAACAGGATAATGAGCCATGTATTTTCTGGGGAGAAACAAGAGCCTGTGGCAGTGGGAGGAAGGATAGACAATGAAGGCTCAAGTGTCAAAAGGGCAAGGCAGAGGGAGCTGCTTTGCCTTGTTTCAAACCTGACTGGGAAGGCAAAGTTGCTGCTTCACATGGCCCAGTAAAAACGGACTATAATGCAGATTTCCGGAAGGTAAACAAGGCATTGTGAGGGGTGAGACAGGGGGGACAGAGCAGGCCCATGTCTTTGGGGATCCGGCAGAGCAAGGATGGAGGGGGAGAGATAAGTTGTCATGGTTCAGCGTCTCTATAAAATTTTGAAGCTGCCCGGTCATTCATGAGAAAGACGTGATAATTTTTGCAAAATTATAATCCCCTAGGTACGAGAGTTCATTTAGCCACTTTTCACAAAAAGAAATTAATTAAATTAATTCAGGAAGGGTACATACATTAGAAATTCAGAATTGCGACCAAAAAGGTCTGGCTAGCCATATGACTTGGTTTCAATCACTAATGCCGTGGTGGCCATTTTTATCTCTCCGACTTTCCTTGACTGTTCGGGGCTATGAGAAGGTGGCAGGGTTTGGGTTTTGTTTTTTTGTCCCTGGCCACATAGCCAAACAAGTGCCGAGCCAGCTCCGGTTTTTGCCTTTGCTAGCTGAAGATGCTTGAGCTGGCTAGCAGCCGTTATTTTTTTGAAAAGGTAACTGCAATGGTTCCAAGCTAAATTGGCATTTATAGGGTTTCTCTGCTTATGTGGATTCTTTGATGTCTATAAAGGTTTCCCCTCTGAATGAAGCTCTTTCCACACTCCAGACATTTATGCGGTTTTTCTCCTGTGTGGATTCTTTGATGTGGATAAAGATTGCTCCTCAGATTGAAACACTTTCCACACTCCAGGCATTTATGTGGTTTTTCTCCTGTGTGGATCCTTTGATGTGTATAAAGGCTACTCCTCTGACTGAAGCTCTTTCCACACTCCAGGCATTTATGCGGTTTTTCTCCTGGGTGGATCTTTTGATGTGTATAACGGCTTCCACTCTCACTGAAGCTCTTTCCACGCTCCAGGCATTTATGCGGTTTCTCTCTTGAGTGGATCTTTTGATGTCTATAAAGGCTGCTCCTCTCCCTGAAGCTCTTTCCACACTCCACACATTGATAAGGTTTTTCTCCTGAGTGGATCTTTTGATGTTTATAAAGGATGCTCTTCCGATTGAAGCTCTTTCCACACTCCATACATTTATGTGGTTTTTCTCCTGAATGCATCGTTTGATGTACGTAAAGGTTGCTGCTCCAACGGAAGCTCTTTCCACATTCCAGGCATTTATACGCTTTTATTCCTGAGTGGATCCTTTGATGGCTATAAAGGCCTCCCTTCTGACTGAAGTTCTTTCCACACTCCAGGCATGTATGCGGTTTCTCTCCTGAATGGATCCTTTGATGTTTATAAAGCTTGCTCTTCTCACTGAAGCTCTTTCCACACTCCAGGCATGTATACGGTTTCTCTCCTGAGTGGATCCTTTGATGTGTATAAAGGTATCCACTCAAATTGAAGCGCTTTCCACACTCCAGGCATTTATGCAGTTTCTCTCCTGAGTGGATCCTTTGATGTACATAAAGGTGTCCCCTCTGACGGAAGCTCTTTCCACACTCCAGGCATGTATAAGGTTTTTCTCCTGTATGGATTCTTAGATGGCTTACAAGATCTGCATTTCTTTTGAAGGATTTTCCACATTCCGGGCATTTAAATGGTTTTTCTTCTGAGTGGATTATTAGATGCTTTTTAAGATCTCCATTTGTTTTGAAGGAACTTCCACATTCCGGGCACTGATATTTCTTTCCTCCCTCCTGGATTCTCTGGGGATTCCCGGGTCTTCCGCCTCTTCTGAAGGACCCTCCGCCCTCCAGGCCCGTCTCGGGGTCTCCGCCCGTTTCCTGCTCCCCGCTTCTCCCTCCAGGCGGCCTCCTTTCCCGGAGTCCCCTTCGGCTCATCCCTGCCGGGCCTTCCCGCCGTCTCCTCCCGGGGCTGCTCCGCGGGGCCTCCTCTCCTCTCGGGCGGCGCCTCCTTCCTTCTCCTTCCTTCCTCCGCCGGGCTCGCCCGTCCTCCTGCAGGGGCGAAGGGGGGGAGGAGAGGCGGGTCACGGCTTCGTCCCTTCCCCGCAGGGGAGTCCCAGGCTCGCCCGGGGAGGAAGGCCGGAGCCTCGGCCTCTCCGTGGGACTTTCCGGGCAGGCCTCCCTCCCAGCGCCCGTCCCGCCAGACCAGGCCTCGGCCTCCCCCTCCCTCCCTTCTCCGCCAGAGCGCCTCTCGGACTGCGACACCCAGCATCCCTTGCGCCCTACCTGGCTCCGAGCCCGTCCGCGGAAGAGTCAATATGGCGCCTCAGTTCTGTTTGTTCCCGGAAGTGGAGGCGGGACTTCGCTGCGAGATCTCTTCCCGGTTGCTCTTCCTCTTTCCTTTCAATGGACCGCCCCGAGGAGTCCTCCTGCCAATCGCTGCCCTCCCCAAAGCGACCAATCGGCGTCCTGCTTCCTTCCGGCCATGAGCCATATAGCGCCTGCGTAGTAGCGAAGGTTCTCTTCGGCAAGGGGGTGGGGCGAGGGGCTCCCCTTGAAGGCTTCTCCCCCCTCGCCCCCCCCCGCATCCAGGCAGCGGAGCTGAGGGGCCCCCTCCTTCCTCCCCCCACTGGGGGTCTCTCCCTAGGCAGGGCGGGGGGGATCTGGGGGGGCGCTTCCTGCCTCCTTCCCCCTGGGGGGCTCCGGCCAGGCTCCCCCCGCGACCCCCAGGCAGCCCCTCTCCCGGGCGGGGGGGGTCGGAGCTGGGGAGGAGAAGGGCGGGGGGGGGAGGTGAGAGCAGCCTTCTCATATCTGGGGGGCGCCCCGAAGAGGAGGGGGCCCCCTCTTCCCTGAAGCCCCCCCTGAAGGCGGGAGGAGCAGCGACGGAGGGAGACTGGCCGGGGAAGGCAGGAGGAATCTCCTGACAGGGAGAACTGTTAACCGGTGGAACTACCCGCCTCCAGAATAACACTGGAGGTTTTAAATAAGAGACGGGACAGCCGTTTGTCTGAGCACGTGGATGGACTAGATGACCTCCAAGGTCCCTTCCAACTCTATTATTATTAATATCATTATTACCAGCCACTCTGTCCCTTCCAGCTCTGTGATTCTGATCTTGATCTGGAAGGTCCCTTTAAATTTGAATTTGCCTTCACTAACAACCAATGTCAGTTCTGAACTGTTCCCAGGAACTCATTCCAGCTTCAGCAGCTGAAGCATCAAACCAGGAAGAAGAGAAAGAGGGGGGAGGGCAAAAGACGTCATGCTCACCTTTTCCCCTCCAAGTCAAGAACCAGCCCAACTGGTCAGCCATTTGTCTGAAATGGTATAGGGTCTCCTGTCTGAAAAGGGTGTTGGACTAGAAGACCTCCAAGGTCCCTTCCAGCACTGCACTGCACTGTACTGTGCTGTACTATACTATACTATACTGTACTATACTATATACTATACTATAGCTTGCACTGCCATTGTGGGAGGGGCGTTATTTTTCTCCTTGTTAGCTCCTCAATTAGGATAATTTCTGCTTGATTGTCTGGAGTTAATCTCTGCTTATCTGAATTTTGGAGAGGATGTAAATCCTCTTTTTGGATTCCCTTCTTCACTTTTTATTGTTTGTTTTTAATGGTGTGGAAATGTGGTTCATCTCTCTGTGTCTGTAGATGATGATGATGATGATAACCAATATCTCAGGGGCGGCCCCAAAGAAGAGGGAGTCAAGCCATTCTCCAAAGCGCCCAGATAAGAAACAACAGATGGAAACTGACCAAGGAGAGAAGCAACCTAGAACTAAGGGGAAAATTCCTGACAGTTAGAACAATTAACCAGTGGAACAACCTGCCTCCAGAAGTGGTGAATGCTCCAAAACTGGAAGTTTTTAAGAAGAGACTGGCAGCCATTTGTCTGAAATGGTATAGGGTTTCCTGCCTGAGCAAAGGTTGGACTTGATGACCTCCAAGGTCCCTTCCAACTTTATGATGATGATGATGATAATGATACAGCAGAATAGATGAGAAAGAACTGGAGAAGATAACAAAATACAAAGACCTACAGACAGAAATAGAAAGCCTGGCAAGGGTAGTACCAATAGTCATAGGCACCTTGGGTGCAATCCGAAAACAACTGGAGCACCACTTGAACACCATCGGCATTGACAAATTTGCTGTTAGTCAATTCCAAAAGGCGGCCTTACTAGGAACTGCTTCCATCCTGCGACGATATCTGTAATACCATCAAACATCCACATCTGCCTATCCCAGGTCCTTGGGAAGGACTTGATAGGTAGACAAAATGCCATATCCAGTCTGAACATCTGGCTGACTGCGATGATTCATCATCATCATCATCAAGTTGAACATGTTGGATAGCAGGTCTGAATAACATAATTTTTCCAACAGTTTGAGAGCATGCCAGAATTGTTAGGTAGGCACATTTTCAGAGAATTCATCCTGTGTTGCAAGAATAAATTAAGGCATCTCTCTCCTCTCCATATTGTCGGGAATTTGAATATTAGCAAACTGACTGAAACTTTGCAAATAAAGAAGGGGAAAAATGAAAGCCAGCTCGTTGGCTTTGGGCCAATCACAAGGAGACGGTGAGTTCTAGTCCCGCCTTAGGCATGCAAGCAAACTAAATGTCTTTGGACCAATCCTTCTCTTAGGCCAGTGGTTCTCAACCTTTTTCATGCCGCGACCCCCAACCGATCGTAAGTCGAGGACTACTCAACCGGTCATAAGTCGAGGACTACTCAACTGGTGCAGCACCGTTTGCAGAATGGGACTTTTGGCGGGCTCAGCAGGGCAGAGACAGCCTGGACAATTCCTATTGGCTTTTGAAAGCCAATAGAATTAGGCTCTATTCAAGAGAGTCTATTCTGTTGGCTTTCAAAAGCCAATTGAATAAAAGGGAGTAGCACAGCTAAGGAAAAGGGGGGAAAAAATGGTGGACTGCTTTGTTTGGTGATTCCCGTGAAATGGTCATTCGACCCCAAATGGGGTCCCGACCCACAGGTTGAGAACCACTGTCTTAGGCCAACCCACCTTGCAGGATTGTTGTTGTGGGGAAAATAAGAGGAGGATGGAGTATTAAATACGTTCACCACTTTGAGCTGTTTCTAAAAACAATAAAGGCAGGATACAAATCAATACATAAAATTTAAAAATGAAAATAAAATTTTTATTTTATTCTCTTTTGAAAGGGGAATGCGTGTTTTCTGCCTTCCTCTCCCAACCATGGAGCAATGCTGCCATCTCGTGGCCAAAGAAAAGTGGTGCAGGGCACTTCTTTTTCGTTCCTTTTTCTTAGCTTTTTCATGAACCCGAAAGGCCAGAGGTTGGATTCACACGAGCCTCCCGTCCTTGTTGACTGATTCACACGTGTTTGGGGGGGCTTGTACGGTGCACTGAACTGGCTATTATCCCGTGTGGAAAGGCTACGCTCCAGGAAAGGAATTTTCTTATTCTTTTGTTAATAGATACTATGTTATTTCTTCTCAGCAGGGCGCCTGTTTTATGTGGCTCTGAGTTCGAATCCTGCTCTCGTCCTTGGCAGGATCAGCCCATGAAATAAACGTTTATGTGTTAGCCTTATGAATAATAAAATGACTTTTTAAAATAATGCCCCGGGACAGCACCCCCCCCCCAAACCTTGACTAAGAAGTGGGCTAGTGAACTTGCAGGCAGAAATTCAACTAGGGAAGGAATTCCCTGTTGAATGCAAGTCGAAGGGGAGAGACTAAGCGAGTGGGCGGAGCCAGAACGACCGCGGGTGGAGCTGCTCGACTTTTTTAAAAAAATTATTTTTGTGTGTGTGTTACACCCGCCCATTTCGGGGCTGGCTCCGCCCCTTCCTCATTTCCTATCTGCGCATGCCTATTTTGATTCTCACGATGTCCATCTGCCCCCTGAATTCAGTGCAATCGCATCAGGACATTTGTGTGTTGCAACAAATAAAAGATTATTTTGCACAAGTGTGTAATATTCTTTTAATCAGTTTAAACTTTTATTTAATTCAGGGGTCTTCCAACTTGGCCCTTTTGTGACTTGTGGACTTCAACTCCCAGAATTCCTCAGCCAAGTAATTCTGGAAGTTGAAGTCCACAAGTGTTAAAAGGGCCAAGCTGGAAGACCCCTGAATTAATTTTTTTACTTTAAACGGGTGTTTTCTGCCTTCCTTTCCCAACCATGGAGCAATGCTGCCATCTAGTGGCGAAGGAAAAGTAGTCCCTTTTTATTAGCTTTTTCATGAACCCGAAAAGCCAGAGGTCGGATTCGCACGAACCTCCTCTCTTTGTAACTGATTCACACGTGTTTGGGAGTTTGCATGGTGCATTGAATTGTCTATCCCGTGTGGAAGGCTAGGCTCTAGCAAAGAAAGCCAATCGTTCTTTTATTAATCAATATTTTATTATATCGTCTTCCAAGAGGGCTGCTGCTTTATGTGGTTCTGAGTTCAAACCCGATCACGTCGTTGGCAAAATCATCTCATTAATAAACGTTTTATGTGTTAATCTTATAAATAATAAAATGATTTTTTTTTATGTAGCCCCTTGAAACTCCCCCAAAACCTTGACTATGGAGTGGGCTAGTAAACTTGCAGGAAGAAGTTCAACTAGTGTAGAAACATTTGCAAAATTAGTCCTGGAGTGGCTTCTTTTAATTCTTTCATTTCTTTGCTTTGCTGAAAGCTCAAAGCAGCCACGGAAGAGGCTGCTGGGAATATAAAAGATAATTGCAGGAGCTAAAATTTAATTTCTAATAGGGCATTGAGGATGGCAAAACAGGGGATGCTGCCCTCCTGTGGCCAGGAAAGTCCATGGCATTTTTTTTCCAAGGTACAGCAGAAAAGGACACTGGATAGTTTAGATTAGACCAGTGGTTCTCCACCTGTGGGTCGGGACCCCATTTGGGGTCGAACGACCATTTCACGGGGGTCGCCAAACAACGCAGTCCACCATTTTTTCCCCCTTTTCCTTGGCTGTGCTACTCCCTTTTATTCTATTGGCTTTTGAAAGCCAATAGAATAGACTCTCTTGAATAGAGTCTAATTCTATTGGCTTTCAAAAGCCAATAGGAATTGTCCAGGCTGTCTCTGCCCTGCTGAGCCCGCCAAAAGTCCCATTCTGCAAACGGTGCTGCACCAGTTGAGTAGTCCTCGACTTACGACCGGTTGAGTAGTCCTCGATTTACGACCGGTTGGGGGTCGCGGCATTAAAAAGGTTGAGAACCACTGGATTAGATAAAATTAAAGTTATGGATGGATGGATGGACAGAAAGATGGTTAGATAGGAGAGATGGATAGAGATAGATAGATGGTAGATAGCAAATAGATAGGAGAGATAATAGATAAAAAGATAGAGATAGATAGATAGATAGATAGATAGATAGATAGATAGATAGATAGATAGATAGATAGACAGACGAATTGATTGATAGATGG